TGAAAGTGAAAGACACTGTCTATACTTTCAAATAAAAGAGCACTTCCGGTATGGGTTGGCTTTTGTTGACTATTGGTAATAACGGAAATTTTGTATTTCGCATTTTTGAAATTTATTTTTAAAAATTTTTTTTTTTTGGGGCACAAATTTTTACGGAAATTTTTCCATTTGCGGAATTCTGCTAATTTGCAGAAATCCGCAAAATTGCGGAAGACTGGAAGCCCTGCCTCCTCTGAATACCGTGCGGGGCAGCACAGCGGCCGGGAAAATATTACAGGGTGAAGTAACAAAACTCGCCGTCCTGCTAAAGTTTTCCAGTGAATCTAAACAATTTTTTCACAAATAAATTCCTCACTGACTCTTGATACGGCAGATAACAAAATGATGACAATCTGTGTTTCCCGAATGGAAAAAAATCCTGATCTTTGTAGCAATCCGAGAAATACGTGCACCACAAGGTAGGGTTAAGTACAGAGGCAGTGTGTGATCACGATTAGAACTAGAACCAAAGTAAAGGGTGCGGGTTACTGGGGAGATCTGAGCTTTCATTTGATACCTCACACACCCATAGTGATAGATAAGTGAGGACATTTACAGGGGTCTATATCAAGTGAAAATTACAGACTTCTACCCAAAATCGTGTAACAGCGCTATCGCCCAGGAAGCGATGTGTGGCCCGGCTGTCAGGTGGGATTTATGACCCCGGGAGGTCAGCGGACGGGTTAAACTAAGTGCTCCGCAAGGATAGTAGAACTGAACAGCCGTGTCATATGAGCGCGCGGGACACACCTAATATTTTCAGTTGGTAGGAAATTTTGAATTTTGCCCGGGTGGCGGCCGAAGCTTACTCTTATCGATTTTAGACCACCAAGGGATCTTAAACGTGTGCAACTTGCACACGGGCCCTCTGAGATTTTTCGCCCTTGTCCGAGAAGGCTAGGTGTAGATCTTTCCTACCAGAAGATCAGGGGTGTGTCAGAAAGACAGCAGTAAGGAGGGGCCAAGGAGTAGCAGTAGAAAGGCTGCAGAAAGAGTCAGGAGCCCAGAGGAGGGGGCAAAGGAGGTGAGGGGGTGGGGGCAGAAAGTGGAAATGAAAGCAGACAACAGAACGAAAATAAAATAAAAAAATCACTTAGGGGAAAAGAAAGAAAAATCACTTTTGTCCATCTCTGTGGGGAGAAGAAAAAATAATTTCTTTCAATCTCTATGGGGAGGGAAAAAAACAACATATTTATATTATCATATCCACGTGGAGAAATTTGGGCACAGATGCATTGTCTTTACTGGACAACAGAGGAAAAAGAAAAGAAAAAAACAAAACAAAGCAAAAAGTGGTTGTCTAAAACAGGTGGGAAGGCATTACAATATTTAAAAATAAAAAGAGGGGTGATAAAAAGTGGCTGTTTGTGCGGCCGATTGTCTTTGGGGGGGGGGGGGTTGGTAAATGTTTTACGGAGCTCACAACTGTATAAGGTCATATGAGTGCGTGGGACACACCAAACAATTTCAATTGATAGGAAATTTTGAATTTTGCCCGGGTGCCGGCCGAAGCTTACTCTTATCGATTTTGGACCACCAAGGAATCTGAAATGTACGCAACTTGCACACGAGAACTCCGAGATTTTTCGCCCTTGTCCGAGAAGGCTAGGGGTAGGTCTTTCCTACCAGAAGATCAGAGTTGTGGCTGAAAGACAGCAGTATGAAAGAGCCAAGGAGTAGCAGTAGAAAGGCTGCAGAAAGAGTCAGGAGTCCAGAAGAAAGGGCAAAGGAGGCGAAGGGGTTGGGGCAAAAAGTGGAGACGAAAGCAGACAACAGAATATTGCAAGAGAGAAGAAAAGAAGGTGAAAGGAGACAATTTTAGAGAAGAACCTTTTTGCGTCGCTACCCGGATTCGACCCGGGACCTTTGAATGAGAGGCAAACACCTAAACCTCTTGGCCACGAGTGCCCCCAAAGGTTTAACTGTGCCACTATTTTATGAACTTCTCAAGAGAACCGGCCTCTTGTAGTTTTAGTAATCAGTTCATGATTCATGACATTTCCCTCACCTTGGAGTGAGCGTCACTTGACGTCTGTGAGGCCTCCGACTCTCCCTCGTACGACGACCCTTGAAGACCTTGACGAAGCGGCGATGACCGCTGCTGACCTTGAGGTTGAGGAAGTGATCCATTTGTCGTGTGCCGCGAGTCTCCCAGACTGAAAGTCAAATTGAATTTAACGACATAAAATATGCTCACAGAAACTACAGAGGGTGAGATAAAAAAATCTTTGCAAAGTTGGATCTGACCCTTTTTTAGTTAAGTAAGAGTTTGTTTTAGTTTTAGTAGAGGTTTTACGGCACTTGCAAAGGGATAAGGTCACATGAGCTCCATGGGGTGGATGTCAACAGAAAAGTCCTTACAGGGAATCAGACTTACTCTGCTCACCTCTCTAGCTTCAACCCCCCAAAGTCTGCTTCGACGATCAAGGCACCCCGGAAATAGCGGATCACAAGAGTTTGACAAACATACAAAAGAAGAAGAGGAAAATGAGGATAGGGGCTGGTAAAGATTAGGAAAGATAAAGCAGCAGTTCCCAGTTGCAGTTCAGGCACAGTTATGAGCATGACATCGATGAATCAGTCCATTTACAATTCTACTGCGCATAAGAACAGATTAATGTCCCCCTTTTGGGAATGGCCTAAAGACACTTCAGTCAATAGCACTGCCCTGGGGGTAAGTAAGTGTTTACAGCACCCGCAACTGCATGAGCGCGCGAAACACTGGTAGGTTTTATCTGACCTGGATTCATATATTTCTCATTCTAACAGCAGAAAAGACAAAAATGTTTATGCAGTCTTCCTTTAATGTCATATTCTGCCATAATTTTAATATACAGTATGCAGTTTTTACAATTTTACAGGAGAACCGCAAAAATAAATATTGTTACCTAAAAAACAGCATTTGCTCTAGAGAAAATACGGGAGTTATTATCAAAGTATAATTCTTTAAAACATGGACTGGAATGTTTGCAAAGAGTTTGGGTTTTTTTTTTTGTAACAACATTCAAAACGTGCTCATGTGACCATATTAAACAAAATAACATTCAGTTTTTTTGCTCTCCAGCAAAACAGTAAAAAACTTCAAACACTGTACTTTTAAAAATGAGGGTAGACACGCAGTTCAATAGGGCTTGTCTTACTTTCTTCATCTAGACTTAAAATCTCACAGATTTCTGTAAAATATTCGAAAGACTGGAGGAACAGAGTCAAAAGAAAAGACTTCAAACCCCAGCACCTACCTGTGTAAGTACTCCTCCACTCTGTCCATCCGATCCTCCTCCCCTCTGTCTTTCCCATCTCCTCCTCGGCCCATCTCTCTACTCCCACCACCACCACCACCGGCCCGCGGAGGTGATGACGTCGAAGAATGAAGTGTCCTTGACCCACCGGTGTCCTCCAGCTGGGCCAAGCTACGAGCTGGATGGCCCGCCGTGGGGTGCATGCCCGAGGAGACCAGGTTGAGGCTGGTCACGGAAGTGTTGCCATCGGTTACCGCCATCGCAGACGCAAGTTGACCTCCGCTCTGGCTGGACATGAAGGAACTGTTGAGGTTCTGGGGATAAGATGAGATGAAATATGATAAGATAAGATGAGATGAGATAAATGAGATGAGATAAGTTAACATTAGATAAGATGCTATAAGATAAGACAAAATAAGATAAACATTGATCAAGGAGGGAACACAGAAAGCCAGGTTAGAGTAGAACCATGGAATTCAAATAACCAAAGTCCAAAAGCGGATGTGTCTGGGTCTAGAACCAAGATTCCCCATACTACAGGGAAGCATGAAATTCATTGAGCAACCGAAAGGTTAGCTAGCACCCCACCCTCAAACACCACCACTCTCTCCACGCTAGAACAGATATCAGAGGTGCCAACTGGCCACAAATAAATCTTTATCTTTTCAGACCTCATGGAAATGATATGTCAAAACACATTTTGTTGCATAATTTTTTTATATGCACTCAATGTCGAGTAGAAAAGTGGCCACTTTAAACAGGTGGCTATCACTATAATGTAAAAAAAACTAAACAAGACATAAAATGAAAAATATCTGTCTTATTCAGGTGGCTGTTAGGGTAGGCTCAACTGTATAGCATAAAATCCTGACAACTTTTTAAAATCCAGACTTCCAGATTTCACCAGAAAATTGTCACCTCTGAGATTTGATACCAGGTGGAATGAGGAAGTAAATAATCCAGACTTTTCTCTAACCTTTTTCTGTGGCGTGCTGACAAGGAGAGAGACGGCCTCGTTCCACTGGGACTGCATCATGAACTGCAGCTTGGTGAGGATTTCCATCCTGGGGAGACGATGACAGAATGATAAGAGGAGACGACGACAAGAGGAGACGACGACAAGAGGAGACGACGACAAGAGGAGACGACGACAGAATGATAAGAGGAGACGATGACAGAATGATAAGAGGAGACGACGACATAATGATAAGAGGAGACGATGACAGAATGATAAGAGGAGACGACGACAGAATGATAAGAGGAGACGATGACAGAATGATAAGAGGAGACGATGACAGAATGATAAGAGGAGACGACGACAGAATGATAAGAGGAAACGATGACAGAATGATAAGAGGAGACGACGACAGAATGATAAGAGGAGACGATGACAGAATGATAAGAGGAGACATGACAGAATGACAAGAGATGAGAACACGATAAAATGAAATGAGAACAATGACATTAAGAGACGAAAACAGAATGACATGAAGTGACGAGAACACAAAGATAAAAAGAGATGAGAACAGAATGATAGTTGGATAGTTTTAACAGTGTCACAAAAAGCACCAAAAAAAACTATCTTAGACAGGTGATCATTACAGCAGGTTCGCTTGTAGCTCTGACCAAGCTAGTTGAAGGAAGCAAACGACTAATGGCGCAGCATCCTCTGAGAAGAGAAAATAACTTGACTTACCTCTGAGACTCCAGCTTCAACTTGGACTGCTTCAGGGAAGAATTTTCTGAGCGCATGTCTTGAAGTCTGAAACACAACCACAGTAGAGACCTCAGCATAAGTACGTTTTAAACTAAACTGGCAAACATAAATTTTGTTTCAGTGCAATAATGCAGTACTAAATTGTAAGTTGCAGCTGGTAAGAAGTATGAAAAAAAAAACCTGCAGCTTTTAAGGCAACAGAAGGAGAAATAAAGATGACGCGTGATTGATAAGAAAGAAGGAACAAACCACACTAGAGCACCCGCCGACCATCTGAAATAATTTCAAGACACTTTTGTAAACGACCAATGGAAACAGAAATCAGAAAAAAAAATTTGTAAATTATGAAAATCTAATCTTCTTTCACAGGCAAAACAATTTTGGCGCACTTGACATGCCTGAGCATTACATGCCACTTACTTCTCTTCCAAATCTGTGATCTGTCTGCGATATTCTTCTTCCTTTTTCTCCCTGTCCTCGTTCAGAGCCACCATTTGTCTCTCCGTGTCCTTCTGGTGTCTGACGTGAATCTCTGCCACCTGCTTCCTGTGTCGCTCTGACATTTCCTCCATTGTTGATTCCATTCGGCCGTGAAACTCAGATGCTTGGTCAGCAATCTGTTGGTTTGTTTGAGTGAAGAGAAATAAATTGTCAAAACAGCAATCAGCCATAGCTGGGAAAGAGTAAGAGAGATCATCATATTGGCATTAAGTTTTTACAAAATAGTAAAGATGGGCAGTCCTGTTCTCCAGCCCCCTAAAAAGTAGAAAACGAGCTACCCTTTATAAAAATCTTCACAATAATGCTGAATAGGAGAGTCTACAACTTTTAACAACATATGTTGGAAAGAGTGAATCATTCCCACTTCACTCCATCCCCCCCGCCCCCTGCATGATACAACAAATACCTATTCAACAGTCTTTCTTTTTAGTTTAGTTTAGCAGTAGTTCAAGAGTTTTATTTTTTCACCTGGTGCAGGAGTATAGGCCAATAAAAAAAGCTCTCCGAGTACTTTAAAAAAACCAAAAACAATAATTATTAAAAATTTGTCCTTTCTCTTCAGCGCTTTCCGCAGTTTGTAGGCAGCGACCCGACGGCGCAGATAATCTCGCCAACCTGGGTCAGCCCTGAAAAATAACACCCATACTTGAAACACAAGACACATGTAACACATAAAAAAACATAACACACATATTACACATCCATTAAATACAAGAAACACATGCAGCACATCAACAAACCCACTTCTCCATCTGATGTTTTAGTAGATGTTTTCCGGCGCTCGCAACTGCATAAGGTCATATGAGCGCCAAGGAAAGGATGTCAATAGAAAAGTCCTAATAGGGAATCAGACTTACTCCGCTCACCTCTCAATTCAACAGCACAAAGTCTGCTTCCACTATCAAGGCACCCCGCAACTAGTGGGTCACAAAAGTGTGACAAACATACAAAAGAAGTAGAGGCGAAATGATGATAGTAAGGATTAGGAAAGAAAAAGCAGCAGTTCCCTGTTGCAGTTCAGGCACAGTTATGAGTGTGACATTGATGAATCAGCCCATTTACAATTACAATTTTACTGTGCATAAGAACTCGAGATGCTAATGTCCTCCCCTTTGGGAATGGCCTAAAGACACTTCAGTCAGTAGCACTGCCCTGAGGGAATAACCTCCATCTGAGCGTGGCGATCAATGAACAACAAGATACACATAAGACACATCAACTAACAAACACAACGTGCAAACGACACATCCACAAAATACAATCTACACATGCGACACATGGACTAACCTCCTTCTCCATCTGGGCGTGGAGATCAGTCTCCAGCTTCCTCTGTGTGCTCTCAAACTTGGCCTCCATGATGGCCATCTCAACCTTCTGACTCTCCTAGATGAAGACAGAGGGAGGGAGAGAGAGAGAGAGAGAATGAGAGGAAGGGCAAGAGGGAGGGGGGAAAGAGAGAATGAGTGAGTGTGTGTGTGAGAGAGAGAGAGAGAGAGAGAGAGAGAGAGAGAGAGAGAGAGAGAGAGAGACAGAGACAGAGACAGAGACAGAGAGAGACAGAGAGAGAGAGAGAAAGATTTTTTTTTCAGTAAGCCTTTTACAGCACTTGCAACACAATAAGGTCACATAAGTGCCAAAGATAAGAGGTATACAAGAGAGTAATAAACACCAGGAGAGGTTCAGAAGATATAGATGTTTGAAAGGAAAGAGAAGGAGCAAATCACACAAGAACACCTACCAACCACCAGAGTGTGAATGAAACACGGTGAAAATGAAGAAATACCAAACCTATTTAACTAAGAAGAAAATGTTTAGATGTGTTTTGGTTTCAGAAAAGAGATAATTGTTTCTCTCTGTGACATCACACGTGCCTGAAGAAAGGTAAAGTTAACTACATTCAAGTTATTTGAAAAGTTGGGGGGGGGGGGGGGGGAGGAACTCTACACATCCCCCCCATCCCACTATTAAGTGCAACCAAATTTTCCTAGACAACCACCCATTGTTGAGGAGAAAAGTGGCCGTCTTAGACAGGTGGATGTCTTGGACTGTCATTATAATAAAAAAAAAAAAATACTTTCCTCTAACCAGCCCCCCTACGTGCAGAATCGACAGGGGGTGGGGGACTTTCCTATAACCAGCTCCCCTACGTGCACAAACACAGACGACCTCTGACCTTCTCTCGGACCAGCTGCTCCATGTCCAGCACAGCTCGCTTGAGCTCCGTCTTGAGCTCCTCTGACTGGGCCTCCACCTCCTCGCGTTTCTTCTTCTGCTCCTCCAGTTTCACCTGGGAGGATGTTGTGAGAGAGAGTGAACGTTTTACAGCCCCATTAACACAACAATTCAGAGACTTTTAAAATGACGCACATTTTTGTTGGATCTGATTAACACATAAGTGCTAATTGATAAAAATCTGGAAGAGAGAAAAAAAAAAGGTAAAGAGCTGAGTTGACTATTTGGCCATCTCCAGTGGTTAAGTGAGTAGAGTTCAGACTCAAAAGTAATGTCAGGCAAGTATCGACGACACGAGGTTCAGGTGAGTGGTCAGTGGGGTGTGTCCATAAACAAGACACGACAACTGCAGCTTAAAAAAAAAAAATTTGGGCTCTGCACAGTGGCAACTAGCACTCGCGGGTTTGTGAAATTGTTCTGCATTGGTGTAATATTGTGTATTTATCTATGTATTCTTGTATTTATCTATTTCTAATTATGTATTTCTGCAAGTATGTATACTTGCCATTGTAGCTCACAATTTCTGCACCCGGATCAATAAAATGTAATTTATTTATTTATTATCTATTTACCTTTGGGCACTCCATACAATAACCACCCACCCACGCCATAAACAGTTTTCATGCAACACAAAAAGCATCATCAGAACCTGATAATGACAAGAAATATTAAGGGTAACCTAATTTTCCTAGACAACCACCCATAGTTGAGGATAAAAGTGTTTGTCTTAGACAAGTAGATGTGTATTATAATAATAGAAAATTTTTTTAAAAACAGGTGGGAAGTGGGAAGTAGTTGTTTGTTCAGGTGATTGTCTTGGACAATTCGACTGTATTCTACAACCTCACAGTAAGAGTCAGTTCCACAGCACCAACACACAAATGACAAGTATAACGGCATTACTCTCCCTTACCTTCTCCATGTTGATCACTTTCTGGTTTGCCTCTTTCACCTCCAATATTTTGGCCGTCAGCTCTTTCTCCTTCGTCTGCCAACTGTCTTGCTCCTGATGAACAAAAACAGAAGAAGAAAAAAATATTGATAGGCATTTAAAAATTGTCTAACATAGTCATTCGTTGCCGTCGTTGTCATAGACATGGAAGTCTTACACATAGTTATTATAATACAAAATGGTGAAACGGTAAAGGTTTAACACCCCTATCAACCCTGTTAGGTTATTTAAGAGGAGAGACCTCTGCGTTTATCGCCCATCTCCGAAAAGACCTAGCCAAATGGGAAATTCATGTAAAGTGCCTTTCCCAGGGACACAATGTCGGATTCAGCTGACGCTCAAAACCCTGAACTCGCAATCCCATACTTACTGGTCCAGTAGCCTGACCACTTGGCCACAGACACTACTTTCATATAGAAAAAAACGCAAGGGTAGAAGTGAGATGTACGTGTCTGTACAGGTGATTGTCTTGCTTTGTTTTAGTAAGAGTTTTACGGCAACACAAAAAGGCCATATAAGTGCTGAAGACTAGAGGTGTTACAAGACAGTAAGAAACACAGAAAAGAGGGAGGAGAGATAAGAACGATAGATGTTTGATACAAAAAGTAGACCTGCATGTGAGCCTCAACCAGACTGTCTGAAAATTTTGCCACACCACACAACCCCTCCACCCCCACCCCCCCAAAAATCTATTTCCCCGATTAGAACTTTTGTGGATGTTATAAAATAGCAGCACATGATGGGGGCGCCCTCCAAAAAGAACCTGCAATGGCCCTTCAGAAATGTCAAAAAGCCAGCTAGATCTAGATCTAGTCCATAATGATATC